ACAGCCTCCTCTAATCGTACGCGGTTGTATTCTAGAGGTTCAACTAGTTTCCATTCGAAATGGGGGTGTGAGCGCTTGCGACTATGTTCCAAACTCAATTTTCACCAACCAATTTGTTCGTTAATGACACTGAAAATCTAACATCTATAATTATTGAAAAAGATTTGTTAAATCTCTAATTTTAAGATAAATAAAAATGATAATTAAAAATAATTATATAAAAGAATTTTAATTCATTATTTATCTTATATTATATATTATATTATAGTTTATTATATATCATTAGAGGAAAAGTATCTAATGCCAAATTCAATATTCCATAATTTATCAACATTAAAGAAAGAAGATCTCATTTCCGGACTTATCAATATAACAGGAAGTTTTATCATTTATATCCGAAAGCATAAATAATAGCATAAATCTGTGCAGTTAATTAACTATTTAAATTATTATTGTGATATAAGATTGTAGAATTATTAATATAAAAGATTGTAAATAAATTATTTAGTATTTAGTATACATATTTTCATGTTTTTTTATGTATAAAATGAATATGAAATTATTTAAAAAAAGAAAATTGAAATTTAAATAAAATTCATAATTGTTTAACAGCGTAACATGTATTATATATGTTTGAATCGAAACATTCCAGCATGTGACCACATTCAAAGAGCATTTGTCTGAATTGAACGTTTCGACTACACTCGAAATTAAGTTGGAATTAAATTGGAAATCATTCGTTTCGATTTCTACGTTCAATTAGATAAAATTTATTTCGAGAAATTATATAATTATATAATTACTTTCATTGATTCAAATTATATTGATAGCTGTATATAATAAAATTTATTTATAATTTTGTCTTAATGAATTTTTACTGAAATTTATAATTTTCTCATTAATGAAATTAAATATTAATGATTAAATATTAATGAAATATATAATTGAGAATTATATTTTTTTGCATTTTGAAATACTACAAAAAGTCATTGTTTATAAAATAAAAAATAATAGCAATTTTTAAATTACTTATTTTTAATTTAAAAATTGAATATAAAACGAATAATATAATTATGATATTATCAATAATGTAAAAATATGAATTATGACTGAATATATTTTAGTAAATATATTAACATTTAAAATATTTATCTAACTATTACAATTAACTTTAATTTCATTTATTTTGACTTGGGTAATTAATAAGCCTGTAAGTATTATTTTAACTAATAATAATATAAAGACTGCAATGTGAAATTGAATGTGCAACAATAAGACGAGTGTTCACAACGAAGATGTTATATCTTGAAATAACAGACATAGGCACTTGTAAAGACAAAGTTATAAGGAAGAGAAATAACGATGACTCGATTGACAATCATAACAAGACTTACTGTGAATTGTTATTTTAGATAATAGATATTTCTTAATTTTTTTAACATTAGACAAATCTTAAAAAAAAATTTTATTTGATAATCTTATCTTTGTGTATATTTCGTATTTTGATATTTGATCAATATTTAAAACAATATAAACATTTAGTTACTGAATTCTATTTTTTATCTATTATAAATATCATTATTTATTATTATTAAAATCAATCATTATATTTAGTTAAAAATTTACAGAACATTATTACTATATAATGTTATTAATATTAATTAATATTGTTAAATTAATATTAGCAAGCATACAGCAAATATTCAGAAGAGCATTTAATTAAGAGAAGAGCAATTAATTAGAACATTTTTATTAATGTCTAAAATCTATTAGAATTACCAATATATTCTCTCTGTGAAACAAAAATTTCCTGAAAAATTTTATTTAAATGAAAAACTAATTTAAATTACAATTTCCTTTACCAAATAAAAATTTCAATTAAAATCTTTTTTGCAGCTTTAGAAATCAGAACAATGATCTGAATTGTTATAAATCAAATTTACGCCTTAATTATTCCCCATCTCGATTTTATTTTTCGAATAATAGGCCAGCTAACTTTTGATGCCTATATTTCAAATTTGAGAGGCATTGCAATTGAAAACAATTCGTTCGCAACTTGCGAATACATAGCGTCCCACATCGGCACAACGTTGTTTTAGTGTACATAAGCTGTTCACATTCGCGGTTCCAATTTGCAGAAGGGTGGAACGTCTGGCGACATTGGACTGGGGTAAAATGAAGCGAATAGGCAACTGCATTGATTAAATAACGAACTCTGAGCATTTCGACTTTCCGCCGACACGTCTGTAGCAGAAACTGTATGCTTGTTGCCATATTATGCGCGAATAAATGTCAAAACTTATAAAGACATAACTATAATGATAACTATGATGACTGTATGTATTTGTTTGTATTTACTATATACACTTTTGCCATATCATACGCGAATAAATGTTAAAACTCATGAAGACATAACTATGATAACTATGATGATTGTATATATTTGTTTTTGTGAATTTACACTTTTACACTTTTGTTCTTAACAACATTTATAATTTTTTTCAATTATTATTATATTTATTAAGTTATAAGCAATTTGACTATGTATATATTATAATATTTTTTGTATAAAATTTTTTTTGTATTGTGGTAATTTATAACAAGTCAGATTTCAATAGATTCATAATTATATTTCTATTTTTTCTATTTTTGTATATTTCTATTTTTATTTTTTCAAATAATTAAGAAGAATATATTTATTTTTTTTATAAATATCATCAGTTGTTTTTTTACATTTTTGATTATTTCGATTTAAAATATTTCAAAGTGAAATATTGAAATAAAAAATTAAAATAAAAAATAAAATAACATTTTTATTTCTATGCAATAATTAAAACAACGATTTTCAACTATTTTTATCTTAATAAAAACTCATTGTTAAAATCCTATGGCAAACTAAAAAATATAATGTTATATTTCTGATTCGATAAAAAAATATTGAATAACATAATGAAAAAATTTCTTTTTGACAATATTTCTTAAAATTTTATTTAGTTATGATATTTTATAATTAAAAAAAAAGAAATAATACTAAATATAATTTATCATAAAATTATTTAAATGCCAAAACATTATTAAATTGTTCTCTCATTAAAACTTCGTTTAATTTATCAAATATTTGAAAGGTATCAATTTTTTTAATATTTAAAATTAAAATATTATTTCGCCAATGTTGAACAACATTATATTACAAATTGAAGCAATATCCACAGCCTTTTTCACCACTATCTTCCACCAAAGAACCTTCAACCTTCGGCTGAACCATGAATTATGAATACACGTCGCTCTATCGGCCGCGTCTATTTTCGTTCGATTTGAATTTTTACAGTCAATTTATTCTGTCGTGGAAAAACGGGTCGAATGAATCGATGAATTATGATCGCGGATGAGCAAGATTCGTTCGAATTTTCATGCGTTATCGCGTTCCTTGGAGACTGCGGATTTCAATTTACCCGTGGCGCCAATGCTTCCTGCTAAGGATGCACACGAATAATTTTCATCCATTGAGTTTATGACTGTGCAACCACTTCAAACTGTAACGTTTTATTCACCGTGTAATTTTCCAATTCCACGTATTCACGTTTCAATACATTTTTCAAGTTACAAGTTTATTGAGGTTTATAATTTTTTTAAAGTTGGTTGTAAAAGTCATGTGTCATGAGATTGCACTATATCATTGTGAAACATCGTATTACAAAATTTTATTCCTGTACTACTATGACATCTAGAGAAAAATTTCTTAGAAGATATAAAAATATAAAGATATAAATTTTATCATAAAATTTAATATTACATTTGCTTCAGTAAATAATATAATGAAAAAAATTATAATTCTAAAAACAATTGTATTTCTATAATTCATATTGCTTGTAAGAAAGCATAAGACCAGATTAAAATTAAAATTAAAAGTTCATGATTTGAATACTATAGTACTAGTAAAAAATACGAGTTACAAATTACTTTCTTTGCATTAATAATTAAATTGAAAATTTTGAGAAAATAAAATATATTGAAAAAACAAATTTTATATATATATATATATATAAAATAGATACTTGAAGTAAAATTACTTAGAACATTCATTTCAATACATATTAAAGTTATTAAAATTAATGTATTGTAATTATTAAAATATTTTAGAAAAATAGAAGTATAAATTTGCATAAATATTCTCAATTTTTCTTCATTCTTCTATTTAAAATTTAATAAAAATAAAATTTGATATCTACAAATATCAATTCTATTATTATCTTTCAGGAATTAATCTTATCATTATAATAATAAATAATAATAATAATAAATAATAATAGAAAATATAAATATAATATATAATAATAATAAAAATGATCAGGTAATTTTGTAATTGTATACTTTTTATAATGAAATATTATGTTAACATAACAATATTACTATCTATCAAATCCAAAAATAAATTATAAATCCTAAGCAAGTCTTTTTTTATCTTTTATTTTTTCTAATTATAAACTTCACAATCATATAAATTAAAATTTTTATATTTTCCATAACTAAAAGATAAGAACGCATTGAAAGGCTTTTGGTTTTATATCCACATTTCTTAAAAGCTTCTTCAATGTCTTTTTTCCACGAATATTACGCTATTGGTCAGAATTGCGGTCAGCGAAACAAATAAACTTTCTTCTCGTGAAAAAAGGCTTTATGTAACGTAATATTCTTTTACAGTATTCTACTTTGTTACTTTTGTATACCACTGTGGAATTACGATATTCTCTAATGAAGCTGGCTAGAGAACATGACTGACAAAACGTGGCGATGTTTCACCAAAAAGTAAGATTACTAAGTAAGAATTTCATAAGTACTTAGAACTTGTTTGAAAAGAAAAAGAAGTTTAATCTCGCGTTTTATTCAACTTTATTCTAATTGTGTTTTTACCTTTTTGAGAATCTGCAGTTACAATATTCATAAGTTATTAATTAAAGCGAAATTACTAATTTAGTAAAATTTGAGAGAATTCGACTCACCTTTTCTTTGTCCCCGATATGGATCAGCATCTTTGCTTTGCCCTCTTCAAGGTAGAGTTGCAATCGATCCGAACTATTTTCTAAACTCGTGGCTAGAAGAAGACCACGTGGTCTGGTAGTTTTGAAGCGAACTACTATTTCTTCAGTCTGGGTTTTCGAATCCTCTGGCATCAATGCTGTCATTTGCTGTGTTCCGTTCAGATGCAACGTTGATGCATCTGAATACAGATTTTTGAATATTCTTCTTAAAAAAATATATTATATAATAATAGCATAATATAATATTATAAGAAATAAAATAAGCATAAAAATGAAATAATTAACAAATTAATTAGTTAAAAGGTAAAAGTATTTAAATATCTGGCTATTACTTCATAATTATATTATAATATACATTATAATATGTAATCTTATTATTATTTTTCAAGAGAGAGAGATTATTATAAGATTATTATATTATTGATAATTGAATATACTAATAATTTAAATTAAATATAATTACAAATATATTTAAACACAATCTTATTACATACTCCATCTTAAACCTTAGAATTTTAATTCAATTATGAAATGTATCAGTGAATAAGCATAATTATATTTATATCTTAACAAGAAATTTTCTTTATTATTATTGCGTTCAATGGCGATACCATAAACTCAAATTAAAAGAAAATTTTTTTACCTTTCCCACAAGTAGGACCAGTGTATTGTGTTCCAGTGCAATCACAGTGAAATCTGTTCCATCCTTCGATACAGTGGCTACCGTGCATGCAAGGTTGTGAGGGACAGTGGGATTGTTGAAAATGACAAGCTGGTTTGACAGCACCTACAAAATTGTCCAGAGAAGTGAAAAAGTTAGTAACAGATGCTCTCAATTTTTAATATTTAATTATGGTTGAAATGATATAATGATTATATCAATGAAATATTATGTAAATTCATTCTTAGATTCATTCTTCAAAATACATTCATAAAATAGAATTTATAAAAATTTGTTTAAATAGTTTAGTATTATTTTGTAATAATGTTATTTATTTGTTATTTATTGAATATTCATCTATTTAATATTAAAAAATTATATATATATTATTATATATATTTAATTTTTAAATATTTTTTTACATATTTCTTAAAATTTATTTAATATTATAAATATTTGATAAACATTTTAGTAATAGTTTAATTTCTATTTAAAATTAGGAATATATATTTTTTAATTATTTAGTTAAAAAATAAATGAATATATAATATATAATATTTATATAAAAATATTATTAAAAATATTAATGTATAGTATAAGTTTGAATGAGAAGAATATTCTGCCAGAAGCTGTGGTGTCCGAGTGGTTAAGGAGTCAGACTCGAAATCTGATGGGCTATGCCCGCACAGGTTCGAATCCTGTCCGCAGCGGAAACTTTTTTTGTTGTTAAAAATTAATTTTTTTACGCCGATTTTTAATATTTTACCTTTTTTAAATATATTTAATAATATAAAACGATATTTTATTAAAAATAAAATATTTAAACACGCATTAATATGTTATTATTATTCTTGTGCATATAATCATATATTCTTTCAACACTTTATCATTATTTTTTAATATTTATATTTTAGTTGTATAAATAATTGATTGAAAATATTTTTATATAAATTGAATAAATTTAATTGTATAATAATTAATATAGATATATTAATTATTATATGCAGTATTATATGTTTCATCTAAATATTTTTCTATAACTCAGTGACAGTATAAAAATAAAATAGCATTTAAATTTTCTACAACAATTATTTTGCAAGTTGAAAATTACTGTATTATGGAACTAAACACGTTTCTTCTACAATATATGATAAGAAGCAAATAATATTTTAACTTTTAAATAATATGCTTCAATTTATATCTACATTTGCAATCATTATGTAATTTTTATAAAAATATTCTATAATTCTTAAAAGAAACTTATATATTAAAAAGTAATTTTTAAAAGTAATAAATAATAAGTAATAATTTTAATAAATAATAAGTAATAATTTTTTTTATTCGATCAATCATTATCTCAATAGAACTGCTAGATCTAATATTTAAATTTTTAAAAAATTGTAATTTCATTCATAAAATATTTTTAAAGAAGGAAAAATAATAAAGAAATATTTCTTGCATTTTAATGCTTGAGATATTTTGCACGATTTTTATAAAATCTGTTATTTGTATGCTGACAAGCTGAGTTATTCTCGACGAAATGGAATCTTGATGTTCATATTTTATTTTAGCATCGCTATAAAATGCAAAACATTATCTTACCAGAGTCCTGTTGTTGAGCATATCCAGCGATATCGATTTGTTGCCCGTTTATGACAAGATCCCTTATACAACCAACGTAACCCTGTCTCAAGGCACCTGTCCACAGTACTGGAGGAACTGTAAGGGGTGCAAATGGAGCACCCACACCACCGATATACAGTAATCCATCTAGATCTAGTTGCGTCGAATCACCTGAAACGCATTATGTTATCTTGTTATTTAAATTACTGTATAGAAATTCTAATAATAATTAATATGATTTTATTTATTTTATATTTAAGGTATTTTTATTTAGAATAATGATAATTATTTATTATTAATAACAATGGCAATGAATATTAAATGTTTAATATAGCATTTAATATTTATAATGATTATAATTTATTATTGAATATAATAATAAAGAAATTTGAAAGCATTTCTTAATGTTTTTTTGAAATTTTGCACAATTATTCAAATTTTCATGGTTTCAATAAAGTTTTCTACATCGACCATAGAGAGGTCTATTTTATTCAAACACTTAAAATTTTGTGGTTCCAATCCATCCACGAATACATTGGCTAGTTGAAGTACTATTTTACTCGATCACTTAAAACTTTGTAATTCCAATGCATTTTCAACAAGCATATATCTGCAAACTATATACGTATCTATGACTATTTAAAACTTCATTTCACTTCAAATTCAACAAGTTTTGTTTTTAAAAATCAAATTATAGAATTTTATATTATATTTCAAAAAAATTACTTATATATTAGTCATCAAGTTTGTTTATTTGCTTTTATTACGATACGGAAATTCAAGATATTTTAAAATATATTCAAAATACTTTTACTTTCATAAAAATAATTATGTAGTTTCTTTTTTTTTTTTAATAAATTTAAAGAAAACATTTTTTAAATATTGAAGTTTATTAAAATCATTGAAGAAATATATGAAGTTTAATAAATTCTTTCAAGATTATTATAAATTGACTATTGTCATTTTACTATATTAATCATTTTAATAATAATATTTAAAAATTAATTTCTAAGCATCTAAACAAATTTTATAGAATTATGCCATTATACATATAATATTAGAATTAGCTGTAAGACTTTTAAAAAATGTTAGACAATGTAAATTTTAATTTTAAAAATTTTATTATATCGTTTGCATTTTTTAATTGGAAAAATTATTAATTATTAAAAAATATGAAGGAATACAAAGTTCTTTATCACAACTTATCAAAAAGTTCATGATCTATATAAAAAGTAAACTTTTAACGTATGATATCAATATATGTACAGCTCTACATTATTTTTTTCAATTTCTAATCGAATTTTGTAAGTGATACAGGTAAAAATGATAAAATGATATTGATGTTTCCATAGTGCATTCGTAATTCATGTTCTTTCATGATTGGCATCAATGCATGATACGTGAAATTCGTTATCAAAGTTTACATGATGCATATGACAGCTTATCATTCGTGCAATTTTTCATTTAGTCACTCCTTTTTTTCAAAGATGTAAAAAAATTCTTTGATATGATATTTATAACAATTATATAATATGAAATTATAAAGTTTATCGTTCTTTCTTGCTGTAATCATTTTACATATATATACATAGATTAGATTCAAGTAGGAATCTTATATTTTTAATCATTTTAATTTCTTTAGATTAAACGTTATTTATTGATTAAATCAATTATTTGTAGATCAATATGTTTTATATCTGAATTTTAAAATTTTATTACAAATAAAAAATATTTCAAATTCTTTTGTGTAAAAATATATTTTCACCATCATATAATATCGTATATATTATACGATGAAATACTTCATATTAAAATTTATATTTTACATTAAATTTATTAAAAAATTTTGTAAAAGATTTTCTCACAAGTAGAAGTGTGAGTAGATATATTCTTATTATCCTAATCACGTCCCTATAGAATTCTTGGTACCACTTTCCACTTACATTTCATTCGAAAATTTCGCCTTAATCCAGACTATCTCGCACAACTTTATCACGCATTATCTCCCCTACGAAACATTTACATCTATGTTCCGCTAACTATCCTCATTATCTCCCATTCACGATCCACCCATTACATACTTTAAGCAGCGAGAACGCACCATCTTCTCAAGACGGAGCTTGTTCGAAATGACTCGAACTATGCCCAATTATTCGGACCGATGCTCTCGAGCCTCGTTAATTCGACGTTAATTAAAAACTCACGAGACCCGCTTAAAGTCTATTATCCTCCGCCCGACTATTTTTCTTTCCCTTCTTTCCAGCTCAAAAACGAAAGTTTCCCGCTTACGAGCGGAACGAGCGCTGGAGAACCGGAGGGAAAAAGTTCACCGACTCTACGAATTAGCACTAGGACACGGCGCGACGTGCTTTGTGAAAATAATAGTCGTCTCTCTTGCATAACCTCGAGCTTAATCGTTCTGTAATCTTAAAATTAAACTCTGCGACTGGTGGTCCTTCTTCTTTTTTTTTTTTTTTTTTTTTTAAAAAGCGTTCATTGTCCGTGTTTAAGAATCGGAATATCTTTGATTCATTTATAAATGATGATGTAATGAATTGGACAAGAATAATTGCAAATTAATTTATGAAATATAGTCCATTTCTTTTAAATTGTAATTAAGAGAACAAGTAATTAAACAGAAGATAATGAAAATAGAAGTAGTTATTGATTTTTAATTTTTTTAAATTCTTTAAGGATTAAAATAGAAATACTATTAATTATCTTTTTGCCGAATAATTTATAATATTGATTTTCTTAACGTTATAATCATGAAAGGGAATATATTATAAATTTGTACAATATTTTCTGCAACAAATTTTTAACTAAAAAATTTGCATCTTTACATTTCTCAATTTGATATCTTATATCAAAATATGATTATTTATTAAATTAATTATCAGGATTTTTTAAAATTATATGGATTTTTGGAATTTGGAAAGCATATTTCTGAGATTTCTGTAAGATTAATACTTACATTTGAGATTAAAAAATTTATGCGCGTTAAATGTGGAATGCTACGGAAATAATAAATAGAACACTATAAAGCTGGTTGAAGGACATTCTAATTATCTTATTTTTAATTCATGAATATTTTATAATGAAATTTATAATTCTATTATCGCTATAGCGTTAATAGACCAATGTATATGAAACATGCAAACGTTGCAATGTTATCTTTGTCCTTGAATTTCTGCGAATAAAAATTAATTTTTTCCATGTTCTAAGATTAAATTTTTTTTTATCAATCATTAACATTTTACTAACTATAATTTAATTTTATGCAAATTTTATATAACATGTAATAATTTAATTGTTATAATGAACAATACAATTATAAAAAAAGAAGAAAAAAAAACAAAGAGAATAAAACCTTGTAAGAAAATTTCATTAATCTTATTTCATTAATCTATAAATTATCAATTTTGATAAAATAATTACATGTACATAATATTTGTGTTATCTATCATTTACATCATCATTAATTCCCAAACTTGAAATTCTTTATAAATATTTTCTTTACATAAAAATTCTTTACTTAATGATTAAAATAGAATTAAAATAAATAATATATTTTATTACATTATATAATTTCAAAAGAATAAAAAATAAAAAGAATAAAAAGGGATATTATAGAAGTTATTTTTGAATATGAGAGGACAACAAGAAAAAAAATACCGAAAGATATTCGGGGACGAGTTGGAAAGGAAATTGTAATCGACAACGGAAAATAAGTGGCTCGTCCCTTGAAAATTCTTATCACAAGCATGGTAAAAACTCGGTGGCGAGTTGATCTTGCAAAATATTCAAGATTATAATTATAATTTGACAGATAAAGTTTGTTCCTCACTATTTTATTGTATGCAGTATCATGGCTTCTAATTGCTGGTTACGTTAATTGGATGCCTGTTCTTATTATTATACATATTACTATTGCAAAATAAAAGAATGGAGATTTTTCATTCCGATACTCATTGGGATTTGGGAAAAATATTCTAGAAATTTGTAATTTTATATAATATTGTTGCGTTTGAACAATTTTATTTATAATGTTTAATATTTATATCATATTATATTAATATTTTAGATATATTTTAAACGATCCCTGCATATCTTCATTCATCTTTGAGCTGTGTACAACTTTTTCGGTAGTATTCTATAATTTACATATCTATTAACTATTCTGCCGTACAACGCTTATAAAATTTTAATGTTCAATATTTGAAGGAGGTTACGAAAGAGGATTATTTGCTCGAAACTTGTGATCTTTTTATTGCTACGTGATTCGTGCAAACGTGGTTACATCATATTTGTAACCACGTTAAGCGGGCCCTGGAAAATGGGCATTTGCTTGGAAATTCGCTGATCAAGCCGGAAGCATTTCAGACGAAACTCGGATGCAATGCTCTGCACGTGACGCTTATTTACATAGATCTGCAATATTATAATGCGCGCCAGGCTACGATAATTGAATGTGCGAGAAAGTTTGATATTTCGAACATGTCTCTCCGCATTTTTTTCCTATAAATGCTACGTGCTACACCCTTCTTTCCTCTTTCGCCCTATCGTTTGATCGTGCAAAATTTTTGAGGAAAAGGAAAAAAAATTTTCCTCCTCCATCCTTTCGTGTCTCTATTTTTTAAAAAAAAGGATTCTGTTCCTCTTTTTATCAGAAGATTATAAAAGTACAAAGGTTTCGATCAAGATAAATAAGATCTGGAAAATTTGATAAATTTTTAATTTTATCTGCTCCTGTAATTATAATGATGTTATAATTTAATATATATTACTTTTATGAAAATGCTATAAAGTTATAAAATTTTAATTCAAACAATTTTTTTTAAATGTGATAAAATAATATGTAGGAATAATTATTAAAATTATTTCTTAAAAAATTAATGGAATTTTTTTCTATATATTATATAATAATAATATAATTTCAATATATTGTATTGCAATAATATTAAAATGAAAAATTGCATATTCGAAGTATCATTATTTCAAATATCATTCTCCTATATTTCATAAAATATTCAATAAAATATTTAAAATAACATTCATAAGAAAATAGTATCTTTTTACATAATTACTGTTATTTCAAATACAGAAGAAATAGATTTTATTTATAAAATCTTGCATCATTCGAGAAAGTAATATTCTCTCTTACTTATCTA